CCTGGGGGTCGTGATCGTGCCGAATCCGTTGCTGGCGAACGTTTGGCGGAAATTAATTTCCAAGCGCGACTGTGCGCTGGAATTACCGCGGAGGGTTGGAGCCAGGGCGAAAATTCGCGCACGCCACCGTCTCTCAGAAGCACTCTCTGTTATTCCTTTTCCGTTCGCAACGAGGAACGTTCCGAGACACGAGTCGACGAGGGGATCGCCTCGTGGAAACGCGTTTGTACGTCTGCAGGGATAATTCTCGTATTCCGGAGGTTGCAGGTCTAGAAGAGGGAGGGTGGCGGTAGCGACAGTCGACGAGGAGCGGCGAACAAGGTGGATCGACGTTAGCGTGTACACGACTCGACAGTGGATCTAACCAGCCTCGCTTCGTAATTGAATCACGCTCGGAGCCGGCGAGGCGTAAAACGCGGATTAAATACGACGCATACGTGGAAACGAGCCTCGCTTGGGGTTCCTCGAGTGGTAGCACCGAAAGGAACTCGGGGGTCGAGTGGCTGCTGCCTCGAGGCTCCCGGAGACTTTGAACGTTAGAAAAACTCGCCTACCTCGCGATCTGCGATGCTAGGTAGGCAGGTGGGATTAATCGATCGAAATTCGACTGGAAATTAAACCGTTGAAAGGCGAGAAGAAAGGAAAGAAGAGGAAAAGAGTGGAAAAAGGGGAAAAGGGGTTTGAAACGGGAGAACGAATGATTTGAGAAAACGGTTAAAATTTTGTCGAAGTTTCGCGTGTCACGATACACCGATAGTGGAACGGTACTCGACCTGTATCGGCTCTCTGCCCTCTAATTTGTCCGTTGCAACGCTTTGAGGCTGAATCTCGTTCCCGATGCCCCATGATCGCTGTGGAACGGTCGAACAAGAGCGTGCGCGACGAATCGAGCGTACCAAAATCGTGCGTTTGATCATCGTGATCGAAACGTATTTATAGACTTCCGATGAATCCGATTTGAACTTGGCAAACTCTGCCCCCTTGATTCTCCGTTTTCAAGCCGAGCTAATTGCACGAGGCCAGGTTTAAAAGCGAAATTCGTTTGATGGTTACCGCGTCAATTTTTCCCCACCCCCGTCAGCCCCCCACCCACCCTGTTTGCCGTTGTATCCCGTTTTTCTTCCCCTATTTGCATTTCCACTTTTCGTCCATTCATCAGGTCCTTGGCAATCCCCGGCATGTCCACGGCATCGGTAGTCAGCTGTGTTGGTGGAAGAGCAGGAAATTAGTAGAGGACGCGAGACGAATCGGTGGCGAAGTCGGAGACGCAGGAAACGCCGCTTCGAGAAAGCGGGTAGTTTGACGAGAGGGTGGAATCGGTGGACGGTGGTGCAAATCGAATCGCTTTCACGGCACTCGAACCCTCGCGTATTCCGTTCCGCCCGTGTGCAACATCGGCCACGAGGACACGTTCGAGAGTTTTTGATTCCGCCAGGTCGCATTGCCCGATCCGATCTTCTCTCCTCGATTCCGCTTCGACCGTCCGCGCGACCGCGTTCCGCGTTATTTCCCGTGATCGCGAGCTTTCGACTCGGCCCTTTCTCCCCCCGGCCGGACATTATCGCGTAGGCACAGGGCCAAAGGGGTGCGAGGTGCGAGGGTGCTGGAATGGCGTTTTAAAATTCCGTGACGAAGATGACGCCATTCACCTGGATGGCGTGTTTACGAAATTTATGAATGCCCTCTCTGTGCACCCCGCTCCACGTTCTATTTGGAGATCTCAAGGATAAAAGAAAAACCATCAATCTCGGCGACCCAGTTCTGCTCGCGGAGGAAGCACGGCCAACGGGGCCGAGACGAGAATCTCTCCGGCCGGTGCCGTTTATGAGAGAACTGTTCTCAAACTGTTTCGTAAGAAAGATAAATAGACGCTTTTGATAAAACTTGCTCGACACCGGAGCGAGCGCATTGAATTTCATTATTAAGCGAGTTCTGATTTATCGTCTCGGCGCAATTCGCAATTCGCCGGGATTAACCCGCCTCCTTCGCTTTAAAAGCGAAACCGTTCGGATTCTTACGAGTGGATGCGTCGCGCGAGCCAGATATCACTGGCGAAATTAAAACAGACGTTTAACGGACAGCTCGAAATGCCGGCTAGCTTCTCGCAGACAGTCGCGAGCGCAGACCCGTCGTCGGAGACTTTGAAAATATTCCCGGAGACGTGGTCACGAGCGGAGCTGCGAATCGGGACACGCTGCAACGACGGGAACCACGGCAGCGGAAGATTTCGTTATATTTTGTGGCCTCCGGGCTACGGGAACGTTTCATCCCATCCTTGTCTTTTTTCCGCTCGCAAATATTTCCCGGCGTGGCGATATTCGCGAAATTCGAGAGGAACCGGTCCCGCAGGGAACGTCGATCGAACAAACCGGGCTCTGTCCGCGTGATCGAGCGAAAAAATCGTGCGACCGTGACCATCGGGCGACCAACCCTGACGCGTATCTTCCTGTATCTTCCTCCCTGGCACGTCATAAAACTTTCATACCTTTTTCGAATTTTTACCAACGGTCTTTTGACAGTCGCCTCGCTCGACGGACGGAATACCAGCGCCTTTCATCGCCTCGCTCGGCTTAAACGCGGTCGAACCGAGGGATCGAGGGAACGCTTCCGGGATCCAGATATATCCGTAATTCGAACGCCTCTCGGAGTCTCGCGACGTCGTCGTTCGTCGAGGGAGATTATCCGCGCGTGTGGAAAAGGTGGGAAACGGAAACCGCGTTCCAACGCGTGCATATATAAATTCGCGAATAATCGTGGACGATTCGCGATGGCGGAGGAGGTAAGCGAAGATGCATCGGTATCGGATCGAAACGCAGCAGCTGACCCGATGCAGTGCACCGCGAAACATTTCGGTTAAGCGGCCGTCACGCAACCCAGCCGACAACGTTACGACGGGCCGGGTAAAAAATGGACGAGTTTAGCGCGAATTAGGCGGCTTAGCATTCCGCCGAATGCAGGCACACGAGCACGGCCTCGGCCATTTGCATGGACCGTGACGTTTGTCAGGTTGATGGACGCGAGTCGCACCATGCGCAATCACTGCGTGCCTGCGACGCGACGCGCTGAAAACTGTCATTTCATCGATCGTTTCCGAATCATTGACATCGCTGCTCCACTTCGCGCTCTCGATGCCTCCGGTTGCTTTTCATTTCCGCCCCGTTGTTCCTCGATGAACGCGTCCCGCGATTCCTACTTTCCTCTTTAATTTCCATCGCGTTCCCCACGCGCTGTCTTCCCTTTTCGTTCCTTCCTACGCCGCTCGTTTATTTAGACCGTGGCATCGCCACTCGTAAATCCCTATCGATCGCCGCTCCCGCCGCGTTTCGCCATTTCCCGCTCGTTGTCACTCACTGCCGCGATCCCGAATCATTTTTGCGGTTCCGCTTGTCGCTCGTAGTCTCAGGTCACTCGTTTTTCCCGAGATTCGACATTTCCATTTCTGAAAATTGCAGCGTGTTCTCTTTCGATGACCAGTGAACCGGAAACCATCGCTCCACCGACCAACCGCCACGCGGCATGTTTTCATTATTCCCTTCCGCGCCTGCCTTTTCCCCTCTTTTCCCCTCTTTTCCCCTCTTTTCTCCTCTTTTTTCCTCTTTCAACTTCATTACCGCGAGATGAACGACAACGCGGAGCGACAATTCCGATTGACGGCGGCGTTCATTGGCAGCGACACACGCCGCAACGCGACCCTGACAAAAGGGTGCTTCCCCGTTGCAATCGCGCATTGTCGTCCAAGCCTTCGTTACCACGAGACCGTGCGAATTTCCCAAAATTCCCGTGCACGGAGGGGCGAATTAATTAGGAAAAAAGCCAGGTACATCGCGACGTTCCCGTTAGCGGTTTCGATCGGATCGCAGTGGATTTCGATCGAACGTGGCGGGTAGCCGGGGATAAGGGTCGGGGAACGGAAACGCGATTACAGCTTCCGGCCCGCTGACAGCAGTCGCGCCGGCCGCTCGGTGCATCGATTTACTTCGCGTTCGTTTGATCGCGATGGCGGAAACGCTGGCGCATTTCAGGCTGCGATTTACCGCGATTGGACTCTTGGATTTTAAGTTGCACGCGCTACGCGGCAGTGAAACGGTCAAACGCGAAGTTTCGTGGAGAAACACGAGTCTCGTTACTTTGCGCTGTACGTCGTTGGCGCCGCTTAAGCCGCACCTGCTATTTTCGCAGTCGATTGAATAACTCGCGCGCTCGAACGGCGGGAACAATCGGAAAAGGCTAATCGCGTCTCGCTCTAGGTCGTTGCAGCCGGGAACTCGGCGCGTAAAATCGTTGGTAATTAGCTTTGGTATAAATTTCAGCAGGCTCGCGGTGGCTCGTGAGCACCGGGGTGAAACGAGCACTGGCGAGGATCGAGCGAGAGAGCTCGTCTTTGGACGGGCATCGGTTTATCGTAAACAAAGGCAACAGGATTCCACGCGAATCTCGTATCAGGCCGTTAGTCAGGTGTCTTAAAAGTTACCTACCCTCGGTCTGCCGATGGCCCGGGTGGGCTTGCAATCGGAGCTTACGATTTACCGCGGTAATTACCGAAATTACTGCACCGCATAATGACGGTAATTATCGTCGTAATTCTCGGTAATCGCCACGGCAATTACTGGACTGGAATGCTGAAGAGCAGCGAAAAGGTCGACCGGTAATGCAGCTACCGATCCGGACTCATCCTTCCCCTTCGACCCACGGCTATTATCGATTCCGTTGGAAGAAAACAGGCGGTGAATTATCGTCTCGATGTTCAAGGTCGATCACGAGGCACGCCATCGCGGCGTTTGCGCGCGCTTCCAGCGGAATACGAAATTTTTCCACGTTTTTCGCCCCCTCGCCGACTCGTCGAAAAATTTTATGCCCTCCGCTTGTTATTCTCTCCGTTTCCTTCGACGTTTCGCGGAGGTAGAGCAAAGGGAAAAAGAAAAACCAAAAGAAAAAGTAAACGAAGAGAAATAGTGGTTGGAACGATGCACTAATTCGATCATTGTTTCGCTTTGTTGCAGGATCAAACTGCGAGGAGGCTGCTCTGCGAGAGGTTCCGTGGCGAGGTGAGTTTATTGGGTATTTTCGCGGGAAAAAAGCAGGGCGAAGTTAGAGTTTGGCCAATAGTTGCCGCTGAATTACGGTTTACGTGCCCACAATCGTGGCCGTGCATGCTTAAGTAACCTTTCGACCGTCGTCCCATCGCTGCATCGGCGTAAACCCCGGCGATATCGGGGCATTAACGATAATTGGCCACCGGTCTGCTACCTCCCGATTCCTCGCCACTCGATTTCTTCCGATTTATTTAACCGCTCGTGTCCATTAGCGCGCCGCGATCTTTTCGGCCGAGCTGTGCCGAAAACGGGCGCGAGCGCGATTAAAATTCCTCGAACGACGCGAGAGGAAAGCCCTTGACTCTCTTTCACAGCCGACTCTCGTCGCGGAATACGCTCGATTTTCATTCCGGGCGGAAATTAGGGTGAAAAAAGTCGAACCCTTAATGGTCGTCGCATCCTTGAGCGGTTGGTTGCGCATCCGAAGAGATCGGGTCCTCGAGGCACGCGAAACGACGTGCCTGTTCTCCCCCGGCTTCCTTAATGACTGGCGAAAAATCTGAATGCGTTCGAACCGCTGGCGTTTCGCGGGAAATAACAAATGGCGGGCGAGAACCGGTTGAGCTGGCGGGAAGGTGAGTCTTTGGGGGTCAGGTGATTGGCCACGTTCGAGTTTATCGCTCGGTGAAAAATATATAAACTCGATGTCGGATGCGAGAGAAGATCCACCTCGCGATCCATTCGTCCAAGTTACCGAAAGCTTCCAAAATCTGCCAAAATCTGCCAAAAGCTGTCAAAAGCTACCAGGGACAGTCTTGGTCGCGACGACGTTGCTTCTTCTTCCGCTTCGTTCCTCTTCGTTCCTCTTTGTCCCTCTTCGTCCGGCTCATAGCGCGGGACCACCCCCTGTCTCCCACCGATCTCGCGAATTTGGAAGAAACTCGATCCGTGTTTACTCGGTCTCGGATCGCGCGCGGTCGAGGCAATGGTGGTCACCTATAGGCGACAAGTCGGAAACTGGATCGAGTTTTCGAGGGCGACGAAACATTCTCGCGATGCGCGTCGAACGAGATCAGTTTCGCGTTTTATTCGCTGGTTCTTGTCGCGGAAACGTGACGTTTGACCGAAAGATTTCGGCGAACGAACGACAACGACGTTAATTGTTCGCCCGACAACAATGGCCGGCTGGTGTGACGAAAATTGATGCTGTTGGGACGCTAATTTCCGCGCGAGGAAAGCAATTGTTGCAAAACGCGCGCGTGTCAATTACCCCGGGAACAATGGGTTTTTTAATTTCATAGCGGAATCGAGGCTGAAAATTGGCCGCGGGCCGATTCTTTGTCGGGCGACGACTAACGTATTGTTGTTGGCGGGTATCGCGGTCTGAATATAACTTAAACAAGCGACATAACAGAGGGAAATAATCGACGGGCTATTCGTTTCAATGGCGTGTTAATGCGTTCGATTACCGCGTCCATTATGACGAGCGATTCGAATTTGACGAACAGTCAAGCACGCGTTACGTATCCCCGATCTTCCGGTCGTTTTTATCGAAATACCGATAGTAGACCTGGCCCGGGAAAATATCGTTGGGCGAAGTGCTCGGTTAAATTCTTAACGAGATTATTCGCGCCACTTATCGGATACCCTGATTCGCGTTCCGTTAAAAGGTAAACGCGACGCCGCCTCGAAGTCGTTTAAAAAATCAGGAGCGGTTGGTTACACGGTGCCAAAGCGTAAGGGCTGCATCGTTTTGGGGGAAAATCGATATTTATGGAGTTAGGCGAGTGGTTTCAGTTGCAGCGAACTGCCGTAGCCGGCGAGTTACCGCAGCGAATCGGTTAACTCGAATTTAATATCGTGGGTCTTCCAATTTCGACGGAGTGCGGTAAAACGGAGCGAGCGTTTCGGCTTAATTCTCCGGAATTTCGCTGGCCTCCTCGCTCCTGGCATTACGGATCCCTGTTCGCCGTGGATCGTACGGGCTTCTAGGCTTCGACCACTTCCACCGTTTCCCGAATTCTCTCTCTCCGCTTTCTTTCCGAGCGTACGCTTCGAGGTCCGCCCGAAAGCTGGCTTCGATTACTCGACCGGGTCGCAGCTGCAACGAGATACCCGACTCGCTGCGAGTTGTTTCGAGGGCGCACGAACGCACGGTAAAGCTCCCGGAACCGTGGACCATCGGGCGGGGGGTAGCCTGACCGATCGAACGAGATCCGAATCGTTGGACCGGTCGGACCATCTGGAATTTCAGCTAGCAACGTCGAACCGTTCCGCGTCAAACTCGCGGTTAGATACCGCTATTAGCTACATCTTGGTCCGAATAATTGCGCTCATTTACATTTTTAATTACTCGCTGCGGCATTTTCCGCGCGCGCGAGTTATTCAACGGGGAGTGGAAAAAAGGAGCAGGCCGTGGTCGGGTTTCCATTGTGAGGAGTCCGCTTAACAACGGCCCGTACACTTTTCAACCTTTCCCGGAGAAATTCGTTCCAGGTGTATTTTTATTTTCCGCGCGCTTTACTCCGCGCGCCCCCGCGCCGCCCCCGGCGTCCATTGACGTCACGCGGATTATCCTTCGTTGCGCGTTTCACCACGTTCGAAGCTTCGATTTAAACATCGCTTTAATCCGATAATTCCCTCCTTTGTACGCAAGCGTGCAATTATTTGCCGCGGAACGCTCTCGAACATCATTTATCGAACGGTGGCCCGATCTCGCTCCTCTTTTTCCTCGCGCTCCGCCGCGATCGTCACTCGATTCTCGACAAACGCGTTTCTCCCTGTCCGCGTAAACCCTCTTCCTCTTTCATCGTTACGTTCCATTGCGTCACCGTTCCTACACCCGAGCGAACTTATCGTCGTTGAGCGACAGCAAAAAAGGTCGTTACTCCCCGGCGTTATCGAAGTCGCGACTAATGGCTCGCGTCGATGTGTATTTAGCGAAACGACGTACGTACGAACCTACGTACCAACCTACGTACGTAGATAAGCGCCACACGCTGGTACGCGGCTCTATTCCATTAAGTTACGTCCCGGCCGCGGATTATCCGTGAAAATCCAATCCCCTCGGTTCGCGCGAAGCGAGGCAAGAGGCCGATCGCGGAGCGGCGAAATGCAGCGGCGAAATGCAGCGGCGAGGCTGATGACCCGAGCTTCGGAAACGCCGAGAGAAGACAATCGGCAGGACAAAAACGTCGAAACTTCGCCATCGCGGCACTCGCGAGCGGAGAATACGGAAGAGGAAAATTACGTTCCGAGTGTCTTCCGTTCCTCGCGTTAGCCGGTTTTTCCCCGCGCTGTTCCTCGTCGAGAGCTTTGTCTCCTCGCCGACGAGACATCCGTCGTGGTCAGTGCTCCTGGAACTCGCGCGAGAGTCGTCGATTTCTTCCGAAAGTTCTTGCCGCGAGCGTCGCTGCCAGCGTGGCGAGCGGAATGCCGGAGAGGCGTGATAAAAAAATGATCGCGAGGGAAACGAGGTTGATACGTTTTCGCGAGGGAGAGGCAAAAGGTCCTTTTAAAGGATCCCTGAAAGCACGAATAAATCACGTCCCGCGGGCTTCCCCCTCGCCGGTGTCCGTTGGACCGGTATCACCGAGAGATGGCGCAACGGAGTTAGCAGCGGCGCCACGCTACGCGCGTACAGGGTGTGTCAAAAGTAATGGTCGGCGTCTGTCAAACGGGCGGATGTCGGCGCGAGGGGAAAAAGAAAGGGAGAATTACGGGAACGGGAACGCGTGTGCGTGCGGGAGTTGGAAGCTTGGAGCGACCACGAGTGTCGTGAGCCGTTTTTCCGACGATTCCGTGAACTGGCGCTTAATAGGAACGTCCCGGCGAATTTCGGAACGAATGGCCGGGTGGAAACGCCGGACGAAAATTGAAAGACGTACGAGCAATTAGGCTGTCAGGTGTTATCGCGTGGTTTGCATAAATGCACGCGATCGTTGGGAAAGAGATACCGTTGGCCGGCTTTCGCGATTTAACGAACGACGATAACGCTTGGGAACGATCGGTCGATTAACGAACGAGACGAGCGTCGCTTATGACGAGCGATGCATCGAGGATAACGAGGGCGAAAACAACGGTCTCCGTGTACGATACAGTTTATTTTTCGATCCCGACGAAGTGTTCGTGGCTCGATTTACGCACGCACGTCGATTACGATGATTAATTAAAATCAATCGCGAGCAGCGAATAAAACTGGCAGGGTAATCCGTTGCGAGTTACGCGTCAGCGTGGTTATTATCGACGATGCGGTGGTCGCGAGAAGCTGGTGGGAAATTTTACGAGTCTCGGTCGAGACCGCTGCGTCCTCGCGTAATACGTTGTCACGTGAACGCGGCCGTCTGCATTGCGAGTGCAATTCCGTGCACGCGCGGCGCCGACCCCTGATCTCTACCACTGGTCTCTACCCCTGCAAACAATCGCGTTTCTCTGCACGTGGCACATCGTCCCTCCGAATTTTCGCGTAAATCTATTCCCTGCGCCTCGCCTCGGCGCGATCCGGCGACGCTCGTTTCCCCAGCTTCGATCTCAATGGCGTCCGTTACCATCCCGTACGGCTGGCGCTGACGAGACGAGAAGAAAAGAGCGTTCGAGTTAATTCGCGCGATTCGTCATTTCGCATGAATATTCGAGATCAAAGTGCTCGTCGACTCGATTGCCACGATTTCGCGCAATTTTCCCTATTCTGGGCAGCTTAATGGCTGTTTCTCTTAATTCCGTCGCTTTAACAGCCCCTTTCGCGGTGTGTAAAATTTACAGCGGCTGCATTGGGCCGAAACGATCGGAACGAGCGTATTTATCGGCTTCTCTGTGCCAGTGCCTATTCGATTTCCCAGCGATACGCGTTGCACGTGTATATCGGATTTACGAAAATTTGACGTAAACGGGAACGCTGGGAGCAGAGTCGATCGTCCTGCCGCATTTAAAGCACGAAAGCTTTCCCGTTTTCTCAGCAGGGAACACGTTGGTTTTTCGGCTAGCAACGTCGGATACACACGGGTCGGGTAGAA